ATTATAATGATCGTAATACATAAAGTGTTATATTAATCGATCCTATACAATTCATATATAAATAAACATTCGTTGTCTTTTTCACAAAAAAATTAGAGTTTTTTGGTCTAAAAAGTCATATGCGATTTCAGAAACATTATACAACATACTTACGATCAACGCAAAAAACAAATTATGTTACAGCAAAAGAAAGGAAAAAAACGTATTCTACATAAACGCAGAATAAAGAAAGATTGTTTAGAAAACAAAATACTGTAACAAAATATTGTAAGAAATATTTAATATATTAACCACTTAAAAAAGAAAAAAGGAGCAGACAAATTAGCACACTACCCTTTAAACGACTGCTTATTGAATATCAAGATGTAGCAACAAAAACTATACAAAAACGTTAAGTGACAATAAAACTATAAATTCGCGTAATCAGTGGAAATTTATGTAAACATACACGACATTACACACATGCATGCATCTACACAGTATAATATGTCTCCGTTTATTTCATATAAGTCGTAATATATAAAAAACAAGTAAGGTAACTATGTGCATTTCAAAGCGAATCTTTAGTACCCATCCATCGATATTTGAAAGCTGACCACTTATCCGTAAGTCAAAGTTTAAAAACTCAAAAATTGTTTGGTTTGTAATATTCTATAAAGTCACTCGCGATTTTAAAAGAATTTTCATGCAAAATCTGACCGTCGGTTGCTTTTTAGCAAAAATTGTAAAATTCAAATCATTTCAAGGGCTTGTGTTTACGCAATCCAAAGTCGTCTTATAAATAACTTTAGAATTATTTTAATATATTTTACATAAATGCCGGTATTAATAAGTTCTCATCTAGGATAATTGGACTGTTATGCGGTATAGGTATTTTAAATTTGTCCTCAATTTTTCAATAGTGGTTGGCTTTGACTTATTTTCCTAGCTCTTGTTTTATATATAATATTTGTGCTTTAAGCGTAGGTTAAGCATTCACTTCTCTCGGAATTTTGATAATTTACGCTTGAACAAAAAATGCCTTCATAACAATGTCAGCTAATACCATTTGATAATTAATATATTTCGGTGTGGCATCACATCAGATAATGTATTCTCACATCAGATAATGTATTCTTCTATATAAATATCAACCAACAGAATGTGTGGAGAGAACAAAGAAATCTTGATCCCCATTCTCTGATGGCAGTGCATAGTTACTAAGAATAATAATATCTACTAAGGTTATTTAACAAGTAAAACTCACCGTTGCTGGTAACGCGACATATTGTGAAATATTTGAGTTTTTAAGTTTGAAAATTTATATATATATTTATTTATATATACGCACATATATCTACATATATGTACATATATATATATATATATATACGTACATATAAATAAATTTTAGAAAAGCGTATTTTAGGAAACGTGATGAAACGCTTTAAAGTTACCTCAGGTCTTTAATAAACTACTTCTTTCTTAACAATTAAAACGTTTTTCTAATAAACTTTTGGTTGGAATACCATTTTTAATCTTTTCTTTTAAATAATTTTAATTCTTAGATTTAAAAGTACAATTTTTTGCTTTCTTTGTATTTCTTTCAGCGTAGCTTTGTTTTCTTCTTTTTTTTTTTCTTTTTTTTTTTCTGTTTTTGGCACTTTTTTTAGTTATAATATAATTGACAAAAATTTCAATAATTTTTTTTATTTCATTGCATAATATGCATATGTATATACACATATGTATATTCTAGTTGGACATCGAAATATTTGTTGACGAAACCCGTGGCAATATTTAAAAAACGATTATAAGAATAGATCAAACATCTTCGAAAAGTAAACCTCCGGCGTGTTGAACGTGTAAGCCCGTAGAATATTATCGAGATCTCTCTTTCTTGTTTTAAGTTTCTCTTAACAGGTCTCTAACACACGAACTGTTTTGGTTTTTTTGTTTCACTTTTAATAACAATTTTTGTGACAAGACGGAAGTATTTATGATTTTTTTGTTCAATTTTTATAATTATTATGTGTAGCCTTTGGCTTGTTAATGTTTTCTTGTATTTTCATATTACTCTCTGTACGTCCTCTTATATTCAATTCTTATATTCAAGGCACAAGAATTCTATAGAAATGACTCTGTTTTTATACTTCTATTTTTTATACACTCGGAGACATTTGATATTTTACGCACTTTAAACACCTATGTAACGAAGGAGAGAGTAATACACACATAACAAAGAGATAGAGTGAAAAAGAGAATCATTAAATATTGCCTTTCCTTACAATTTATAGCCTATTAATGATTATTCTCTGCTCACATAAATATCACCAAATTGTTGTAGGTTTTACGGTGTTTGTGTCTCTATCCATAAATGTGTTTTTTCCATGTATTTATTTACGTATACATCCATGCCAAATACATTCAAATGTTTTTCAGAGAGTATATTAAAATAGGAAATATTGAAAAAAATTTTTTTTTGTTATGTGTGGTTTGGAATCAGCAGGCAAGCGTACATACGTAGTAATTTAGACAAATAGTTAAAAAGCATAATTTCCCTTATATGGCAGCATGAAGCGTGAAGAAAAGCTCCAGAAACTTCTCATTATGTTTAAATTGAGGTTAAGTCTTGTTGTTGTCGTTGTTATTTTTTCTCGTTAATGTAATTATTATAAAAGGAAAAAAATATAAGCACTTTGTTGTCGTCATTCTATATTTGCACCGCAAAGCGCTAAATAGATTAACACACTCACATTCGAAAAATACTACAAAAAAAAAAAAAAAAAAAACAAATAAATAAAATAAATAAATGAAGAGAAGACAAAGGAAAAAATTGAAAAAATGAACTCGTGGAGACCACAAATAAATCTAGGTCAACTACTCGCTGCTATTTGTGCTTAGTACTGAGTAGTAAAGAGCTTCGGTTTTTAAAATAAACAATTTTCTTTGAAAATTTCGAAAGAGGTTCCTGGCCGACCATTTGCTAAATCTTCTTCCCAAGGTTTTGCTGGTAGTAGCCATACACCAGAAAATAAAACCTGAGTGACACGAGTTCTACTTCGTAAGGAAACCCGTTAGAGTAGCTAAAGCAAGTCGGGTTTAAAAAAATACTACTAAACCTATTTTTAGTTAACCTCTCTTGCTTTCATAAAACTTTTACACATGGAATGATATGAAGAGCTTATAAAAGAAATTATCAAAACAACTTCCAGAGTTTTCAAAAGCTTTTCAAATATATACACCTATAAAATATCACCATATTTATTAAACTCTTCTCACTTTACTGATGTAAAATGCGAAATTTTTTGTGGGCTGTTTCCACTTTTCTATACCATGATAATTATTATTAATATCCACCATTTTATTATTTTCGACTCTATGATAAAGCGAGATCGTGTTATTTAGAAATGTTGAGTATAGCGAAAGTGTTACCGATTTTGTGACATGCCATGACTACGATAAGTAAAGACTCGACTAGACCACAACAACAGCAACAACATGAGCAAAAAAAGTGCTGACGGTGAGGTCAGAAAGTAATAATAATATTTTAAATATAATAAAACATCAATGATTAGTTTGTAGGTTTTTCTTTTTCTTCTTTTTGTGCTCCGTAATGAATTGGTGCGTTAAAATCTAACTAGTTATATCAGAGGGGGTGAGTACAATGAATTAACTAGTTGGCGAATTAATCAATTCTGCAAACAAACGCACATGCACACATTCGTTTTTGCTCTTTGTAGACCGATGTTGGCACTCTTCGTCTCCACCAAGCGATAACCCCGTCTTTATAATTGAAACATACGATACACTCTTCATAGAGATTTATAAAGATAGGTACAAAAGTGTAAAAATTTTCTAAACTTTTATATATTTTTTCTATAATTCTTCTAAAATTTTTCACCAAAAGTCTTTGTTTCTAATAATATGGAATTTTTTTAACAGTTTGTAAGTCCGATATAACTCATAAAACTTAAAAAAAAATTTTTTTTAGCCGATTTTTCGTATATATATATGTATATCCATAGAGTTCGTATGCATATAAACAGGTTCATACACATGTTATATATACATTTATAAACGAGACAACAACCAGCCGCAAAACACATATAAAATTTACAAAAAAATATGTAAAATATTTATTGTGTGTTAATAGTTTTCATAGCTTTTTTCTCAGTATTATATATATTTACGTATATTATTTTGCACAAGCTCTCGCGATAAAAAATGTGCACACCTTTACCGTTCAAAATTCAATTCAAAAATAAAAAATTCTCTTATGAAACGAAAGGCAATAGTCTTACACATCTTTTCTCTCTCCTCTTTCTTTCACTCCCAGGAAAGTCAAAAAGGGCATCCATAAGAACGCATAGCAAAATAAGTTTTACTCTCAGAAATATAAAAAAATGTACTCTTACCCAAAGATACCCATACACTGCCCTTCATTACATTACTCAGCGGCCAAATGTCTATATAACATATAGCACGTACACGAATGCATAATGGGTACAATTTTATATATATGTATATATGCATATATGTATACACAAAATATGCATAGGCAATCAACAGACCGGATAGTTTTTAAACACACACTTATGCATGCAAGTGTTGTTATATTTGTTAGCTAAAGTTGCGCCTTTGATTACTAATGCCATAGCACGTAAACATATAAATCCATTCTGTTACTCATTCCACGACATTCTCTGTCAAATTACTCTTTTTTAAATATTCCTACCTCTCACATAAATTAAATGTAGGAATAAACAAACAGGTACCAAGAGAGAGAGTAGAAAGAGTTCTACGTCTTCACTTAAAAATCAGCTCTCTAACCGATTAAGTAATTTTGTTGTTTTTCCTAGAAATTTTGATCGCTGTTTTAGTGTTTATGTAGATGATGTGGTAAGAGACAAATGAAAAACGAAATCTGGAAGAGAATTTCATATCTTTTGCTATAGAAATAATAATAGGGTTACAAAACAACTTAAATGTATTTAATGTTAGGGAAAGATGTTATTAATAAGTGATCTATCCATAGTTTTAACCAAACATATAACTGAACACTGAAAAGTATTAAGAAAATGTTTACGGTAGGAATGGGCTTAAAACTTGTTGCTTCATAGAATCAATATGATAACGTCATTTTTTCTGAAGCTTTGGGTACACAAAGATATTGATGTTTCTACGGCATATGTTTCAGTTTACGTTGTCTTTTCGTTTCTTTGTGTTTTTACTTGAATTAAATTGGAGAAAGTGCTGCCGAAGCTATAAAAATGTTAAAATTGGTTGGTAATGAAAATGCAAAGGATAAAATGTGTACACGTCCGTCCCCTCCAGCAAACCATCTCAGGAAATGATCTTCAACTTAGTCTAGAAGTTTCCCTCCCGTTCGCAGTTATTCTTTAGACCTTTCTTCATCAGATCAGCACAGGTTCAGATTGATGCGGACATATTTAGAAAATCAACGGATCTGCAAAATTGAAGATGTGGCAAATTGGTTTCTACCCCGAGGCTATCCTATAACACGCGAAAGGCATGATTAGCAACGGTGCATGTAACACTTTGTAACGATTTTTTAATTAAATTTAAATTTTATTAAAAAAGCTGCAAAATTCATTTGTATAACTATTTATATAGCAGTGTTTTCAAAACCAAACTTTATCTTTTCCTATTAGGTGGAATTACTAAATCTTGATGATGATAAACCATATCGCGCGACAAAATGCGAAGACATTTTCATAGACTTTTTAATTACTTTTATGTATGGATGGTATTTACAATGTAGGAAATAGATCAGCTATTAAGATTGGTATTGTGAGCGTGGAGAACATCATAAAGTATATTCTACGTTAATTCAGTGTAAAATCAATTATCTCATGTTCACTTTGAAATATCGTAACGTACTTTATGACGTTAAATGGTGCAAATATAGAAACACTTGGGCAGTATACATGCCAAACCGAGATGTAACGCCGCATCTTCATCTTTAATATGAAAACCGTTAGTTTACTTTTTATTTCTTGTGAGCAAATTTTTCGGTTTCAAGTTTTTTAAGATTTCAAGTTTTTTTGAAAATTAGACAGACGACAACTAGATTGGCCAAAATTGTTACGCGTACTTAAAAAATAGAGGTAACAAAACTAAGTATAATATCGGAATTTATTTTTTTAACAAAAGTTCATTGAACTGCCGTTGTTTTAAACCTTCTGCACTCTTTTTTCCAGTTTAAAGAACTTCCTTCTGCTTTTCGAGTGATGGTGTTCAGCTTAGTTACTCTTCTGTGATCGCAGAGCAGAGATAATAAACCGGGGAGTGTTCTAATTTTGTGTTAGGAGGAATCGAAGACCTTTCTTTCTGCCTTTTTTGCTTTTACACACTTGCTGTGTGACAACATACGCATGTGCGTATGTATTAATGCAGATAGCGCGCGAAATGCTTTCTATCTTTCATGCAATAACACACATTTCATTATTTAATATCCTGCTGGTTTTGGACAATTCTGCTACTCCGTTGCTCTTTCTCCTATTTGCGGATCGGTATCCTTTGTTTACTTTCCTTTTTTCAATTTTTCGTTACTGTTGCTTTTTGCTACAACAAAAGGGTTGTTTATTGGGTTTTTTTTTTTTGGAGTTTATTGCAGTTATTATCTGTTTTTTGGCCTTTTTAGCTTTTTCGTTTTTTTTTCCTAAAAAGTAAGCATCTGTTGTGTTAAGTTTTATTCGATCGCTATTCCGTTGTAGCTGTTGTTTAAGTTGCGGCGAAAAACACGATATATAAAAAGTTACACCTTGTTATGAAATATTTTACGTTGGAAAATACAATAATATCCATTTATATTTATGTTTTCAAACGCACCAATAAAGCGTTTGGTTTCATTGAACTAGAGAATTCATAGCTTTTAAACATTCAGATATGTATTACGAGGCTTTCCTCTGGAACTAACTTTTTAAATTTTATAAGCGAAGACCTTATAATTCCGATCGCGGATTTCATTCGAAAAGAAGTAATATTTAAATAATTTTCGCATCTATTTTCCATTAGTGTTTTTTTATTTACCTATATATTTGCTCTTTTACTACGATTTTTTTACGAACTCTGTATTTTCTGTTATTACATTTGTTGCTGCTTTAACTGTTTTTACATTGATAATAATCTTATTGTTTTCATTTGGTATTTCCTGTATAAACACATAGAATCGAATAAAGATAGTCAATTACATACTCACATATGGACGCACAAATGTGTAACTGGCGTTGCATGTGTGCGCAAGCGTACGTGTGTTTGTGTGTCTATGCACATATTTGTTGCTACAGTTTTAATGTTTTTATACATTACTTAAGTTGTTGTTGTATTTGCCGGTGTAGGGTGTAGGTATATTTCGTTAAAATTTCCACCATATTATACCTTATAGGTATATATATAATATGCATGTATTATAAAAAGACGTAATTCAGGCTTAGTACAACAGTAGTGTATGTTGATGTTACGATGTTTCACCAACAGCAATAATACCGAAAGCAACTTTTCTTTATGAATTTGCCGTATATGAGCAGATATAACTTATTATATATAGAAGAGAGTGTGTCCTAAAGCGTCACATGGCCAAAATGTTCAAAAGGCGAAACTCTATCGTAACACAGGAAAATAGTAAATTTCCAAACCATAAATTTCGTTTAATAGGAATTAAAGTTTTATAGTTTTTTTCTATCAAAAAGTTTTAGGATATGTACTTTTCATACAAATACAACGTATACGAAAAACACAATTTAGGATTACATGTGCATATGATATGCAATATTTGTAAGACATAGCTCGAAATTTATGCTAGCGATGATAAAGAAATAGCGCTCGCAATTTCAAATTTCCCAAATAAGCTCACATTCATAATGGAGATTAGAATTTAATTCCCCAGTATTGCTCTATACGAATCATTATATTATAAAGCGGCGCCACTCTTGCAACATTAATATTTTTATTTTCATAGAAATAGTTGAGAAAGTGTTAAAAGTTTATATATAAATAGCTCTTAGAATATTGCGTTTATACAAAGTTCTTTCAATTTTTTAACCTTGAAATATAAAACTTTAATTTTCTGAGAATTCGGTTCAGTAACAAACCGTCTTTTAAAATAGAAAGGGAATTTCTAAGGAGAGAAGAAAACACTCTTTTCTGTTGAATTCTCTCAAGGAGCAGCTATTTGAGAGGAAAGTAAACACACCGATTTTCAAGGCTAACAATGAAGAATTTCATAATAGAATTTAGATTGAACAGGATTTGATTTTAAATCTATAACAAAAGAAAAAATTACAAAGGCCATCTTATATGATCATGAACGTGGGTTTGTAGTTGTTCGTTAGTCACAACTATCTTCAGATGCTCTTTGTTTCTCTTTTCTTATATATCGTTAGCTGAAATTTTTCTTTCATAACGAGAACACACGTTTCAGCAGCTGTTTTTACTAGTCCACTGTGTGTTTGGCTTTGTTGTGTGTTTGTTCTTGAAATTCTCTCTCCTTCTTTTTGTTTTGTTTTAGCGCAAAATTTTTTACCTAAATTTATAATTCGGATAGTATGTACTTTTTTATTCTTGTTTTTTAGTTCATGGGATTAGAATGCCGAAAACGCACGTAAGGGACGGACGGGGAAATTGAAAATAAGTCCTTCCCATGTGCGACAAGCGTGTTCATTTCTAAACTCGGAGCATTAGA